GGCTCCGGGAGGAGATTTTAGCTTCAGAAAGGAGGTACCAAAATGGCCCACCTTTTCTATATGGATGATCTCAAATTATTTGCTTCCATCCGCTCCAGTCTTATCGAATAAGGTGTTTTACACAATGAAATATATATATATATATATATATATATATATATATATATATATATATATAATATATGATAGTCTGTGAACGAAACGCTGTCCGCCATATTAGAGACTATCGTGACGTCACTGATCCCGCCTAAAGGTAATATATATATGTTCTGTGTCACTGATTGAGAGCACTAGCTGATGTGCTATGTTATTTCGAAAATTTTCAAGTTATCGCTATGATTATTGAGTTTATTCCTAATTTTATTGAAAATGCATCATGGAAGACAATTTCGTAAAAGCAGAAAGTACAAATCTACCACGGATAAATAAATTGATGGTGGCAACATTTTTTGCATGCAATCCCAATTTTTGTTAGCCTGAGTTGAGGAATGTTAAAATATCAATGTAAGTACCTATTGCCAACTTTTGTTTATACAAAAACAATATCAGGTCAGTGTATTTTGATAAAACATAGTTTAGTAGCTATCACAGTTTAGTTTATCTATAATTACAATCTTTAGAAATCATTAGTTATAATATCTAAGTTAACGTAATTTATTACAAAATTTGACTTGCGATACCCTTCACCTCATGATGTTTTGTTTTGTATAAACGATAGTTAAATATAAGTAATACTTACATCAGAATGATCTTCACAGAAGAATATTCTAGTTTTTTTGAACAATGTATTTGGGTATCTTCTTATTAATTTTAACCAATTGTTTTTATATTTAAATCAGTTGGCCCTTGAATCCATAACTTTGCCGCCGTTCTTATGCTCGTATTTTTGCATTCAGACACAACACAACAATGATATAGATGATAACTACACTAAACATTAAAAAGTATCTTATTCCTTTGGAAAATCGCCAAAGTCTAGGACAGTGACGTCACGAGTTGATCATCATGGCGTCTAGCGTTTTCACGCGAAAATTTAAGACGATAGATTGAAAGTAATTTTTATGGCTTTATTTGGTTTAAAAAAATTTATATAAAAATTATAGTGGTTCATTATCACTCTAGGATTCATATAAAACACTTTTTGAAAATGGGTGTAAACATAACTTGTAATTTTAGCAATTCTATTAGAATGGAGCTGGGGATAGATAAGTGTGCGGCCCTCCATGTTGAGAGAGGTTGGGTAGTCAGCTCTGCGGGCATAGACTTATCTATGCCCATCAACATAAGGACCCATTCCGCGGCTGAAACATACCGATGCATACCAGGGTATGTTATAAAATATAGGTATTGATGAGACGGATATGAAACAATCGGTTTACGATCAGTTTTATGCACGCTTGACGAAAGTGCTTAACAGCCGTTTTCCGGTGTGAATAAGACACATGCATATAACGGTTGGGTCATGACTGTACTCAGGTATACCTTTGGCATACTTAAGTGGACTCAAACTGAACTTTACGCCCTGGATAGAAAAGTCCGCATTACTATGACGTCCCATAGGATGCATCACCCGACATCGTCGATTATTAGGCTGTACTTGCCGTGGAAACATGGTGGGCGTGGCTTTTTCACTCCTCCTCGGTCACCACTCGGTCAGTCGCCGTAGAGTCTACATTACCTGAGAATGGCTCGTGTAGAGGCGAAACATGTGTCGTATTGTCGTCGATGGTGTGTCTTACCTGGAATAGTGGTGTTGGAAGTAGTGGTGCCGGGAGTAGTGGTGCTGGGACTAGTGGTGACGAGTTAGTGCATGCAATTGAGGGAGGGCGGGAGGTGCTCTTCAATCCAGATAAGACACATCATTGTAATTGGTTAGCGGAAGGTTGCAAAGTAAGAAATTATTATAATGGATTTCCTCAAAGTAACGCCTGATTCTATCAAAAACAAAGACAGTAGCAGAAAGTGAAAAAGTTAAAAAATACTTTTTTAACAATGACAGTCATTAACTGATCATTAGTGAATGTGATTCTGTTTACTTAAATTACAGGAAGACAAGAGCAGAAGGAAGAGATGGTATGATGGGAAGTAATGAAGCATTCTTATGTGAAGTTTGTAGGAACAAACATATTCACGTGTACAACGCGGTCACATTAAGTTTATGCATCGCTGGAATGCGAGGCCCCGCCCGCTTCCCCCCGCACTCCCTTAGTTCGCCCGGAAATCGTCAGTATGGTTAGCATCTCTGTTACCGATACGCGCGTCGATATTTTGACTAGTTTTCTGTTGCTATTGTTGTTATTGGATATTTTGTTACGTTTTCGTTATTGTTTAAGTTTGGACTATTTTTGTTAATTTTGGACTATTTTTGTTACTACTCATTTTTTAACATGGGGAAAACTATACACAGTGAAGGGAGAAATCTTGTGTTGAAAGTGCTGCAGTTTTTCGGAATGAGAAGAAAAATAGACGCTTTTGCATACCTGTAGATCAGGTTGATAAACGAACCTGTGCAGCAACTGGAATATCAAGAAGTGTACTATTACTCGTATAAAAAGTCGTCGGGTTCTTCGTCCGACGCTAGTCCAAGCACTAGCACGGCTCTAAGTACTAGTACGGCCCCAAATACTAGCACCGTTCCAAGCACTGACAATTGTCCCAGTCCAAGCGTAAACAATCAGCGAAAAAAATTGTCGTGGATGATTTTGATATTTGCGCAATACGCAATATCATCAACAGCTTTTATACTGTAAAAAAGGAAGTACCCACGCTTAAAAAATGTTGGCAGCTGTTAAGAGAGATCTTAATTTTCAAGGTGGAAGAACTTTCCTTAGAAATATTTTAATAAATCAGTTGGGTTATAAGTTTAAAAAATGTAAAAGTGCGCGTTCGGTGCTAATTCAAAAAGCCGATATAGCCGCATGGAGAGAACGCTACCAGCGCCGAATGAAAGAGAAGACCTCGGCGCAGGTAAAAAACCAGTTATCTACCTGGATGAAACGTGGATCCATTCCCATTATACCGTCAGCAAATGCTGGCAAAACAGCACAGATAGCAGCGTGAATAAAAATTTTAACCCGGGTCAACGGTGGATTCTGGTGCATGCTGGAGGAGAAAACAGATTTATCCCAGATGCAGATTTGTTATACAAATGCAAAAGTACTACTAGCGATTACCATCATGAAATGAATACCGAGAATTTTTTGAAATGGCTTAATGAAAAGCTGATACCAAACTTGCCTCCAAATAGTATAGTCGTCATTGACAACGCGCCTTACCACTCAACGCAGTCGGTGAAGGCGTCCACAAGTGCAACGTTAAAAGGAGACATGCAAAAGTGGCTGCGTGACAACAATATTCCATTTGATGAAAAAATGAGAAAAAGAGAACTCTACCATATTTTAAAAAAGGCAAAGCCGCCCAAGCAATACATTGTCGATGATTTAATGAAACGTCATGGCCATGAAATTGTACGTTTGCCACCCTACCATTGCGACCTCAACCCCATTGAATATTGAAATAATACTAGTTTTTACGGAATTTATCGCGTATATTTAACTTTTTAATTACCCGACGTTTCGAGAGCTTTACAGCACCCATGGTCACGGGAAGGACTGAGATGTTCAACGTCCAGCTGTCATAGTTAACCGCGGTTACCATAGATTAAAATTTAACTTTTGTTCCGATCTACACAGTATGAACTTATGGTATCATGGAGTCTTGCAGTTGTATGCTTGGGTTGAGATTTAATTTTATTTATTATAGGATCCCAAGCAGATGGTAGCACCCAGCCATCTTCTCTATTGAAATTAGGATGTTTTTTGATTTCAATAGCCTCGCGAATCATCCTTGGAAGGAATCGGTGTTCTTTAGCGAGGATTTGTGGTCTATCAAATCTGATGTAGTGACGGGGGCGATCCTGTACATGTTCACAGACTGCAGACTTCCCGGAGCGTCGATTCTTCACATCAGCTATATGTTCTTTGACGCGGGTTTTAATGGATCTTTTAGTTTGTCCTATGTAGGAGAGACCACATTCACAATCAAGCTTGTACACTCCTGCATCTTGCAGAGGGACGTTACACTTGACTGATGGTAAAAACTGACCAATCTTCTTAGGCGGCTTGAAGTATGTTTTGATGGAAGCGCGCTTCAAGATGTAGCCAATCTTGTCAGTGACTCCTCTAACATATGGCAGTACAGCAGGTACACGCTCGACTGTGGCCGGCTTCACTCGTTCTCTGTGACGTAGGCGCGGGACCCGAAGCTTGTTGTCATGCAAAACTTGCTTGACATGTTGGAGCTCGGCAGCCAGGTGTTTACTGTCACAGATCCCTCGTGCTCTCTGAAACAAAGATTTACCCACGGTAGCTAACTGTGAAGGATGGTGGTGAGAATCACCGTTTAAATATCTATCTGTATGGGTCTTTTTTCTATACACAGTATGGCTCAAGGTGTTATCAGGATTCCGAATTACTAACACATCTAGAAAAGCTAAGGAATTGTTTGCCTCTAACTCCATTGTGAACTGAATTTTAGAATTTATAGAGTTAAGATGGTCTAAAAATGCAGTTACTTTATCTAAAGGTAGAATTGTGAAAGTGTCGTCTACGTACCGCTTGTAGAAACTTGGATTTATGGGAGAAGTAAGCAGGGCTTTCTCCTCAAAGTCTTCCATGAATATGTCGGCGACAATGGGAGAATTGAGTTCTCGTGGTTGCGCGAAAGCGTTCGGACGTTTCTTCTTGTTGGTAAAGTGTGTATGGCATTTGTTAACGGTTAAAAAAGGACAGAATAAGTGTAATACGGATCATAAGGAAGAGACAATAGTATAACAGGAGCTACGACATAAGTGCAAGCGCAGCTAATCCCCACCTACGCGCGTGCGGGGGGTTGACTCCGCCCACCAGATTAATCATTATTTTTGCTTAGAGCCAGCGAAAACATCTATTTAGGCCTAAATGGAGCGAACATTAATGCCGACGGAAGAGGAAAAGATCATAATGTACGGTTCTGATACTAATGTAAGTAAAATGAAAGATAAACATGTAATTTTATCTGAATGGGTTAACCCTAGAAAGAAACGTGTATATGAATCGGAGGACGAATTATCCACCGGACAGATATCCGCGGTACAAAAACCGGCCTGTTGCACGGAGAACATGCTAAGCTCACTAAAAGAAACGATGGATTCATTACGTGAGGAAATGAAGATCATGATGCATACTCTTAAAGAAATGAAAGACCAACAGGAAACACGTTTTGGGAATTTTGAAAAAGATATGTCAGATATAAAAATTACAAAATGCCAGTTGCAGAAAACTAATGAAGTCGTTGACGACTCATTGGATTATCTCGGCAAAAAATGTTCAAAACTGGAGAACGCCATCGAGGAGGCGAACAACGTCATCAAAATACAGGAAAATAAAATAAAAGATCTATCCCAAAAAAAATGTTTACCTGGAAAAATATAATAAGGCTTTAGAGGAACGTGTCTGCATGTTGGAACAGAAGGGGCTGGACTGCAACATAGAACTGTTAAATGTCGAGGCACCAGAAGGAATGAGTACCATACAGATAGCCAGAGCGGTTGCAGATGAATTGAATTTATGTCCAGAAAAAATTACCAAGGCTTGGAGAGTGGGAAAGATAAAGGATGGGAAGGACTCGAGGCCAATAATTGTCACACTTCAAACACGTGAAGACCGAATCCAGTGGATAGGGTGCCGAAAAAATGCCATCACTAATAGCGCAATATTTAAAAACAATAATAATACGAGAATCTATATTAATGAAAATATAACGCAGCATCTTCGACGTCTATTCTGGGAAGTTAAGACTGAATTAAAAGATTTGTATAAATATATTTGGATACAGAATGCCAGAATATTAATTAGAAAGAATGATACAGTAAAAAAAATCCATCAAATACGCACTCAGAGTGACATTGAGGCCTTTTTAGATAATAAGAAACAAGAGTAGTAACAAGAGTAGATACGATATATATATATATATATATATATATATATATATATATATATATATATATATATAATAAATAATATACATATTGATGTCTTCTAACTTTGATCCGCATCCACAGTACCAAGATATAGAATATACGAAATACACACAAATTAATGACTGGCAAAAACATATAAATAAAGATAAAAATGCACTACATATAATACATATAAACATATGTTCACTGAGGAAACGTTTTAACCAATTAATAGCACTCATAAAAAATTGCATAGCCAGCATAGACGTTATTTGTCTAACAGAAGTTAATGTAAAAAACGACGAGTTAAATTTATACAACATAGAAGGATATAACTTATACTCAAGGACTAGAGAAAATAAAAGAGGAGGTGGTATAGTGATTTATATCAAAGAAAATCTTTCTTTTCAAATACATAGTACAAGTAGTAGCCATTGTGAAATGATACACGGCATTCTGAAAGTACGAAACTACGATCTTGATATTATAGTGATATACAGACCGCCTCACACAAACAAACAACTGTTTGTAAAAGAACTGGAACGAGTAATTCAACGAGTGCCGATTAGTCGGGATATAATCATGTTCGGTGATTACAATATTGATATTTTGGAAGATAAATTGGACCATATCGCTTGTAGTTATCTTAATATGTTATCATCACGAGGATAACAGTGTGGAATTCAAGACATAACCCGCGAGGCAGTGAGTGCGGAGCGACGGACAGCCACTTGCATCGATCATGTGTTCGTTAGAACTGAGAGCGCGTCAGAGGTGCAAGCGTATTTACTTACGAGTCCATTAGCTGATCATTACCTAACGGGACTCACCGCTGTTATAGGTAAGCGTATGCCGCAAAATGTATGCAAAACAAGTTTGAATAACAAAGCGATTGAGAAGAAATTAAGTGAACAATATTGGAATGAGCTTTTAAATTATGATGACCCTATCAGTTTATATAGTAGAATCAAAACAATTTTTTGTAATATATATGACTCAGCGCAAATAAAAATACAGTTGAAAAAAAGGGAAAATCAACCCTGGGTTAGTAAGTCGTTATTAAATATGATTGAAATTAAAGACAGTTTGTTCAGAAAGTGGAAATCAAACCCTAGTAATAATAATTCTAGATTAGAGTATACTAGATACAGAAATAAAGTACAAAAGTTAATAAATAAAGCCAAAAACGATTATAAAAAGAAAGAAATAATTAATTGTAATGGGGATATGCGCAAAATTTGGGGAAAAATAAACCAGTGGCTCGGGAAAAATAAAACATCAGTTGATACCATTATTGAAAGATACATAAAAAATGAAAAATCTATGAAAACAATCTGTAATAAGTTTTGCGAAACGTTTAGTGACGAAATTGATAATATTAAACACAAGTGTAACCAAACCTTTTTAAAAAGAAAAGAATACATAGACGAGTGTAACGTGAGCTTCCGATATAAAATGGTATCAGCTGATGATGTGATAAAAGTTATAGACAAACTAAGCTGCAACAAGTCATCGGGGTCAGATCGAATTAGAGTTCAGGATTTAAAATTTATTAAAAAAGTCATTAGTCCTATTATAGCGAATTTTATTAATATGTGTATTAAAAAAAGTGTTTACCCAGAAGAACTAAAAAAAGCAATAATCAGACCTGTCTATAAGCAGGGATCGCATCAAGAATACACAAAATAAAGACCCATCGCCATACTTAATGTAATCAATAAAATTACCGAAAAAATAGTTGTCAAACAAATTTCAGAATTCTTAGAAAATAATGATGTTATTACAGATTTACAATATGGATTTAGGCCAAAAAGAAGCACAGACATGGCTTTAGCTAAATTTACAGACGACGTGAATAACGCTCTTAATGACCAAAACCTAGTAGGTGTTATTTTTATCGATTTTAAAAAAGCTTTTGACACACTGGACCACGATGGCTTGCTGCAGTCTATGGAAGAGTGCGGTATTCGAGGACCTACAAACTTATGGTTCCGCAACTATTTAAAGGACAGAACGTTAGAAGTCCGCATTAGCGAAACTAGTAGTGACCTTGGTAAAATCAAATATGGAGTCCCAACCGGCTCAGTATTCGGTCCAGTAGGGTACATCATTCATGTAAATGGAATGAGCAAAGTAGTACGATCATGTGAAATGTATATGTATGCTGATGACACTTGCCTAATGTACTCGTACAAAGATCCAAAGACGATACAAATTGTTATGCAAAAAGACTTAGACAACATTGTTAAATGGGCGCATGATAATGGTATTATAATTAATATAAGCAAAACTAAATTTATGTTAATATCTTCGCCATACAATCGACAAAAGCATGCCGACATTGTAATTAAAGGGCATACCTACGATTGTTTCCACAGAAATAACAATGTAAATAACTGTAAATGTCTGAAGTTAGAACAAGTCTCATGCTACAAATACCTAGGACTAACTATAGATACCAGTTTTGTATGGAGTATACATGTTCAGCAAATCTGTAACAAATTACGTAGTGTATTGGGTAAATTGTACCACCTGAAATTTAGGCTAAGCAGAAGTATGTTACATATGCTGTACTATGCGCTTGCGGATACAACTATAGATTACGGGTTGGGTAGCTATGGACTTACGTTCCCAGTGTATTTAAATAAAATCAAAGAACTACAAACAAGGTTGTTAAAGATACTAGTAGATAATAAAGTGAAAAGTGAGTGTAATAAAGAATATAATAAACTTTTCAAAATTTGTAAAATTGTACCTGTAGACAAAAAAGTGAAAATAAAGTTGATAATGGAACAGTATAATAAAAATGAGTTTAAAGTAGAAAGAGAATATGGCTACCCTACTCGTCAATCCACTAGAAAAGGAAAATATGTAGTACCTAAAATTAAAAATTACTTCGGTATGCGCACGAGACGATGGGTTATCCCGCAATTATATAACGAGCTGCCGCCGGACTTGCTTAGTAAAGTTATCTCAAAAAATCATTTAAAAAATATCCTAAGAAAACATTATCTATCATTGTGTCCATAAAGGTACGCCACAGGCCACGAGTAACGTACTGTTAAAATTAGCAGTCTATATGCGATGTGTGCTGTTTGAGTATGTGTTGAATTAGTGTATATGTATGTGTATATACAGTATGTATATAAAAAAAAAAAATAATGAACCAATTTTGATATTTGGCTGATGTGGACCTCATAACAAACTTTGTACTAAATATGTATAGATAAAATAATAAAATAGATTTTGGGAGATATTAGTATATGTATAAGAAATTATACTTCAGATTATATGTATAAACATAAGCATGTAAGACGAGAACTACTGCCGACAAACTGTAATGCAGTTTGGCAGATAAAAATGTTAAAAACGTTTATTGTATAATTGGAAGAAAATAAATTAAAAAAAAAAAAAAAAGATACAGGTGAGCCCATCGCCACACCATCTACTTGCTTGTAGAACTCCTCCTTCCACAATAGGTAGCCAGATGTAAGGCAGTGTCTGAGTAATACTGCATATTCTACGGGCATGTTGTTTTCTTCCAGCCTTCTAGTTACAATTGAGATGCAGTCTTCAACAGGTAAGCATGTAAACAATGACTGCACATCAAAACTGACCATAGTTTCATTGTCTGCCAGACGTAGGTCTTTAATCTCGCTGAAAAAATGGTAGGAATCCTTTATGTGTGCTCTTGTATGTCTCCTGAGCGGTGAGAGTATTTTCGCTAAGTGTTGAGCCAATCTGTAAGTTGGTGAATCGATTTGGCTCACTATGGGGCGTAATGGAGCATTGGGCTTGTGTATTTTTGGTAACCCATACAACTTTGGTGATTTGGCGCACGTAGGTATTATCCATTTTACGTCCAGATTTAATTTTTCGGAGTGTTTCTTTATGAGGTCACTAGTTGTTTTTAGTGTGTTATTTGTTGGGTCGTTTTTAACCTTTTTATAAGTACTTACATCCGACAAAAGTTCTTGTATTTTAGAATTATAATCTGACGTATCCATGACTACCGTGGCGTTTCCCTTATCTGCGCGGAGAATCGTAAGTTCTGGTTTATTGCGTAGGTTCTTTAACGCTATAAATTCGTCTCTGGGAAGATTCGATTTAGGCACTGAACATCGACGTAACATAGACGAAATGTCTTGACGTATCGCCTCCAAATCTTCTTTCCGCATATTGTTTTTAAATAAACAGTCCTCGACACTACAGATAATTTCTTCGTACGGTAATCTGCGTGGAGTTATAGCGTAATTTAGTCCTTTGAATAAAACCTTTATTGTTGCATCATCCAGTGTTTGTTTTGACAGATTATAGAACGCGATTAATCTATGATCTGTGTTTGTCAATGGTTGCTTTTGGTTCTGGCATTGATTCGGATGTTTGACATTTGATTTGGCCGTTAATTTTTGATATTTTTCTATATGTTTGTTTTTGCATTCGTTATATTTATTAATTTCGCGTTTATTTAATGTTTCCATGCAAAAATTATAATCAAACGTCGTTAAAACTTTCTTTAATTCACTGGATGATGTGTCTATGGATTTATTGATGTCATATAGATCGGAGCGTTTTTGTTGGATTACCGCCCGTAACAACTTTTTACTCGCCTGATTTAAGATCTTAGCGCTTCCTCGAATGTCCTTTTTGGTGGATATTTTGACACACGTAGGAATGAGATTATGGTCTCGGCATCTCTTCAAGAAATTTAAGGCTGTTAGATATCTTACGCGCTTAGTCTTTAGATCTTCTAATCGGCGTATTTTATTTGCAATTACCAGTCCGTACTGGTTTACATAATGATTTCTTATATTTACGCGAACACTACACATTGAAATAATACTAGTTTTTACGGAATTTATAAATAAATAAATAATAATAAATAAATCATTTATTCATCAAGTAACACAGACTCATATGGGTATAATTATATCACCAGTCACATTACAAAAATTACATTACATTAGGTTCATTAAATTAAATTGAAATCAAAATAAAAATTAAAATATTAAAATAATCAAATTAAAATCTCAATCAATATATCATAAATCAATGTAAAAGTAATTAAAAACAATAAACACTCACAATAAATACCTAATCTTCCCTTCACATGTCATATTAATTCCTACTGTGCACAATGTGTAGGCCACAACAATGTTTGATGTAGGGGCAATCTAGTCTACTTGCTATCGCGGTCAGCATGCTGTTGTGGCTCCCCCGCACTCGCCGTACCAGTGACGCTGCTCGCTTGCGCATTGTAGTGTGAAAACAGTCCACACGAGCACACGCGAACATCGTCGATGCACTACAGTACCGGGGGAGCCCCACCAACATCCTGAACGCGTTATTAAACTGGACGCGTAGGGCACCGTACGATATTTGCGCATAGTCAGTCCACAGGCTGCAGCTGTAAAAGGAAGTGCAATAAGCTTTGAAAAGAGTTACTTTCACTCCCTCCGAACACCGTGCAAACCTCCGGACCACCATGTTCGCTCTGACCGACAGCGCCCTCCGCTCCCGCTCAATGTCAGCATCGTCTCTCAGTGTGGGGGTGACAATATGGCCTAAGTATTTAAACTCATATACTCTCTTTAACGGTATTCCATTAAGTAGAATAGAAGGCATCTCCGTCACCTTATTAGAACCACTCTGAAAGACCATACACTGGCTCTTTTTACAATTATAGATCAGCCCCTGACCAGCTGCATAATCCTCACACGTTCTCAGAAGCTTTCTGAGTCCACAGACCGAGGCGCTCAGCAGAACCATGTCGTCCGCGTAGCTAATGTTATTGAAACAAACGCCATCTATATGACAACCGACATGTTGCTTGCTGAGCGCCTCAATCAGTTCATTAACGTACAGGTTGAATAAAGAAGGAGAGCTCAACCCACCCTGCCTCACACCACACTCCAGTCTGTATTGGTCTGACATAGTGCCCGCCCACTTCACGCTGTTACTTTGGTTCCCGTACCAAAACTTGAAAATGTGTACTAGTTCATCCGGTATATGGGCTTCCTTCATCTTCCTCCATAGTATGTCATAAGACACAAGGTCGAATGCCTTCGAAAGGTCAAGGAAACAAGCGTAAACAGGTGTTTTTCTTGTAGTGTAGTATTTGACAGCACTCTTCAAACACAATATAGCAGATTCAGTGGACAGCCCCGAACGAAACCCAAACTGACTGTCCTTTAACTGTATGTGTTGATTTAAATGTGTATTGAGAATGCTGTCAAACACTTTTGCTATTATAGTTGCCAGGGATATAGGTCTATAATTAGATATGTCTGACAAATCTCCCGCCCTATTTTTCACCACTGGTACCACAACAGTTTTCATCATATCCGCATTATCGCGTATATTTAACTTTTTAATTACCCGACGTTTCGAGAGCTTTACAGCACCCATGGTCACGGGAAGGACTGAGATATTCAACGTCCAGCTGTCATAGTTAACCGCGGTTACCATAGATTAAAATTTAACTTTTGTTCCGATCTACACAGTATGAACTTATGGTATCATGGAGTCTTGCAGTTGTATGCTTGGGTTGAGATTTAATTTTATTTATTATAGGATCCCAAGCAGATGGTAGCACCCAGCCATCTTCTCTATTGAAATTAGGATGTTTTTTGATTTCAATAGCCTCGCGAATCATCCTTGGAAGGAATCGGTGTTCTTTAGCGAGGATTTGTGGTCTATCAAATCTGATGTAGTGACGGGGGCGATCCTGTACATGTTCACAGACTGCAGACTCCCGGAGCGTCGATTCTTCACATCAGCTATATGTTCTTTGACGCGGGTTTTAATGGATCTTTTAGTTTGTCCTATGTAGGAGAGACCACATTCACAATCAAGCTTGTACACTCCTGCATCTTGCAGAGGGACGTTACACTTGACTGATGGTAAAAACTGACCAATCTTCTTCGGCGGCTTGAAGTATGTTTTGATGGAAGCGCGCTTCAAGATGTAGCCAATCTTGTCAGTGACTCCTCTAACATATGGCAGTACAGCAGGTACACGCTCGACTGTGGCCGGCTTCACTCGTTCTCTGTGACGTAGGCGCGGGACCCGAAGCTTGTTGTCATGCAAAACTTGCTTGACATGTTGGAGCTCGGCAGCCAGGTGTTTACTGTCACAGATCCCTCGTGCTCTCTGAAACAAAGATTTACCCACGGTAGCTAACTGTGAAGGATGGTGGTGAAAATCACCGTTTAAATATCTATCTGTATGGGTCTTTTTTCTATACACAGTATGGCTCAAGGTGTTATCAGGATTCCGAATTACTAACACATCTAGAAAAGCTAAGGAATTGTTTGCCTCTAACTCCATTGTGAACTGAATTTTAGAATTTATAGAGTTAAGATGGTCTAAAAATGCAGTTACTTTATCTAAAGGTAGAATTGTGAAAGTGTCGTCTACGTACCGCTTGTAGAAACTTGGATTTATGGGAGAAGTAAGCAGGGCTTTCTCCTCAAAGTCTTCCATGAATATGATAAATTCCGTAAAAACTAGTATTATTTCAATGTGTAGTGTTCGCGTAAATATAAGAAACCCATTGAATATGTCTGGAATTTGGTCAAACAGAGGGTGGCATACAAAAACGTGGACCAACAAGAAAGAAAAATTGAAAATCTCACCAGAGATGCAATAAATTCCATCACAGCATCAGAATGGAAAAAAGAAGTTAACCATGTCGAGAGACTACAACAGGTCAGTTCGTAAATAAATTATAAATCTAAAGTATGTATGTATGTATGTATTTATGTTTGTATTGTGGATGTTAAATAAAAAAATATAAGTACTTTTTTGGAGGTACATATTAGTAATTCACTAAATTGATACAATTATTTTGTGGTAAATTTATAACACTATTTTATTTATTTTCAGGAATACTGGGAAAAAGATGGCCTGGTTGACGACGTACTGCAGCAACTTGTAATCGATCTTGGAGGAGAGGAGTCATCCGACAGCGAGATCGAAAATGAAGAAGAAGAAGACAGTTTAGACCATGATATTGTACCAATTATTTATAGTGAAGATGAATTTTGAATAAATATTTATCTATCAACATAAAATAGTTTTAAATTATATTGCATAAAAAAATACATGATGCAACATATTGCAAGATTAACAAATAAAACCTATGCTCCAAAATCAAAAGTATAGTTTATACCGCCAAAATGACGTCATCAAAGCCATGCGTCAAGTTAATGTGACCGCGTTGTAAATACTAATAAACTTTAATAAAATAAACTTTTTGGTTCAAAATGACACAAAATCTAAAAAATATTAGATACATCATCGACATGGACGGATTTTACATTACATATCCTCATAAACATTTTCAATGTAAAGAAATGGCTATTCTAGACGTAAAACAATCTAATAAAAATTATGCGTTTGTCGATCATTATTTGTTTCGGCCAAGCTATCCTTTCAATTATTTGTCGCCAAAAGACAAAAAAAAAACTGTTCGTTATTGCAAAACACACGTGCACGGTATTCCATATTTTGACGTGACCGAAGAATTAAAATGTGCCTACAAACAAGAGAACATCATTCCCATATTAAATTGGTACATTAGAAATTTGTGTAAAGATGAAGTGATCGCATACAAAGGTGGTTCAGCAGATAAACAATTTTTAAAAATGTTGACGACGAATGATAGAATTTTTAATATTGAAGAATACAAATGTCCAAAATACAATGATTTGGTAAATGTCGTAAATTTAAACAAACGTTATGTGTGTAATAATCATATATTTGCAAAAAATAATCACAAAATTTTACATTGTTCTTGTGATGAAGTGTGGGTTTTTTACAAGTGGTTATTGCTTGAAAATAAAATTTTAAATTAATCATAAATTTTGTTTGATTTCCCAAAATAAAAACGTTTAAAACTTCGCGTGACGTATAGTGCTACGTCCTGTGACGTATTATGAAATAAACTTTGTTGCCTGGAAAGGACGTTTATTCCAAGCATCGACGTTTGTATAGGAAATTTTTCTTACATTTAAAAATGACGCATGACGTCATGTGACGTAGCATGAGATAAACGTTGTTGCCTGGAATCGACGTATCGTCCATTCCAAGCATCGACGTTTGTATAGAAAATGTTCATACATTTTAAAGTGACGCATGACGCCGTATGACGTAGCATAGAATAAACGTCGTTGCCTGGAAAGGACAATACGTCCATTCCAAGCATTGACGTTTGCTTTTCATACATTTTAAACTAACATCACATGATGTATTATGAGATAAACGTCGTTGCCTGGAAAAAACGATACGTCAATTTTACTTTGTATGAATTAGTAGTTAAGTTGTACCAGTTCTGGCTATCAGAGCATGCCAAAACCTATTTTGTTTAGGATCGTGAGTCGACGAACGTTGTACCACTTCTGACTCAGTGAGCCAGAACTGGTACAACTTAACTACTGATAGTTGATAACAAATTTATCCGTAACTGGTTTGCTGTAAACATATGTCACCAAGTGCACTGTGCAGTTCAAAGCCACCATCACTACTACGCACGTCGCGGCAAACCTCCAGATACCATCCACTCCATCTGGATGCTTGGCGGCCCACCACTGTACGTTTCAGTTTTCTTCCGCAGACGTCCTCGCTGTGGAATAGCCTATTGCCTGTGGAATACCACCGGCGAATTTTCCGGACCGTTATGACTTAGGTACCTTCAAGAAAAGAGCTTACTCCTTTCTAAAAGGCAGGCAACGCACATGTAATTCCCCTGGTGTTGCAGTTGTTCATGGGAGGCGGTAGTCATTTAATATCAAGTGTGCCATATGTTATACGTTTGTACATATGGCACACTTGATATTAAATGAAAAAACTCTTCTATAAAAAAGAAGAAAGGCTTTTTCCCTTACTTAAAAAAATAATTTGGTTTCAGTCATTATCAAAACCACAAGAGGCTAGAGATGAGATTCAGTTCACACCAATATATCATATGGATATCAAACCAGTAGAGTGTGATTTAGAAAATGATTGTGAGCACGAAATTTTTAATCTTGAATCTGTTCAAGTTGAGGAAGAGAAATTCGAAAATGAGAATTCCAAACTTGAAGTAAATGAGAATCATGAAACAGGTAAGATGCACACATTTTGTGATATCATTCAAATAAGGTAGGATTTATCTAATGGTAAGTGGTTACTGTTGCCCATGAACACAAAATAAAGAGGGCTTCGTGTACAAATTACTAGTTTGCCTTTGCCTAAATTCAAAATGAATATAAAAAAAATTAAATATTTTTATTAGGAGATAAGCATACGAGCTTATGGACATCTTAATGAGCTATGCTAGACATTTTCTTTTACTTTTGTATAAATATATTCATAAATGTTTTGACCCTGTATAAATGCAGCCAGTATGTAATGTACACTAAGATGTATTAATTTCATAGGAATTAATGATATACTTACAACGTGTAAGCTACGACCTATCTTTGCCAATTTCTTAACCCAGATATACTCCATCCTCCTGTTACCTATTTCTGTCGTCAAATACCACTGTGTGCCAGTCTGAAGAGTATTGAGGCAATATAATCACAGGTTGTGGGGCATTGCATCTTAGTCATCAGAGGTGACAGCGCATTGTTACCTTATATGTTTGAAGTTAGCTGCAAGCAGTCCGTGGACTGCAGTACCCGCTTACCATCAGGTGGATCGGCTACATACCATAAGGTGGACTGTTAATTTGTTTGTCACTTATAGTCAACCAAATCTGAGAATACATTTTGACAGCTGTCAGACTTATTGCACCAAGCATGCCAACCAATAAATGGGAACGTGCAATATTCGATTCTTAAAAAAATCGATATCGATTATTTAGAGTTGTTAATCATTTACAGTTTGGTTTGAATAATACCAGAATAAATTAAAAACGGATAATTTAAAACGAAGGATTTATCAGTTTCTTCGTATTTGTTACTACTTATTTCTAGAGACACAGTTATAAAAATTTACGATTGAAACTAGATTAAAAATAAATTTATTGAATCATTTTCAGTACAACTAGTAGAAATGTCGTTGTTTTTATTAATTATTATTTGATTTTCAATAATGCAGTCAAAATTAATGTCTTTTTCAAAGTCATCCATAATCAATTTTTTTGTTTTGTCTACCACTTTTGCCCAATCATTCTTTGTGACATGGGCACATACTTCAACGAATATATTTTTTTATAGCATTGGGTGACAAACAAGCACACAGTCCACCTGATGGTAAGTGGATGCTATGGCCCATAGAGATTTACATTTATCCTCAATTAAGAATCAAAATGCAAACGCGTTGTTATTCCTGAGGACTAAGATGGAACACCTAGATGCCAGTTAATAAGGTCTCCGGTTCTCTACACTCAGCATACGAAACACAGCAGCATTACGCTGATATTTTACGCTGGTATTCTGTAAGAGCGTGGTCCTGCCCTGGTTAAGCCGACCCATTCGTGCTACAACTATAATATAGATGTAGTGTGGCTCCACCACGTACAAAAAGTTATTATAGAGGAAACAGTCCAAAAAGTTAAAGCCGAGTCACAAAATAAGAAGACAAACACAAAATCACAAAATTACGCACAGTAAGCTCTCGAAACAGAAAGAGAATTTTTTTTATTCAATATAGATTATGAATAATACTTATTAAAAGTCACTTTTTTATTTACCACTGGTTCGCAAAAAAACCTCTGTTCTTGGAAGAACCAGCAAGAAACCCAATGGGACTAGTTTTTTTTTTTTTTGAATAAGAGCTTACAATCATGCGTGTTACAATTAACAACACAAAACAAATTAGAAATAGCTTGGTAGCGATTACCCTTCCCAGGGGTTATTATCATCCATAAATTTCTTAATATTAAAATAATCCTATTTATACAAACTTAGTTTAATAAAGTTTTTGCACTTTGTGTTTACTTACGTCAAATTTTGTATATTTTCTGGGATTTTGTTGTAAAAGCGTATACATCGCCTCAAGAATGAATAACTGATTCTGTGGAGTCGAGTAACTGGAATCGAAATGGCGGGATATTGAAATTATGTAGTGGTTATTTTAGCACGGCCTTGTATATGAGTTTTTTGCCTACACAAATTTACTTTGACAAAATTAAAAAAATAAACTTGTTTTTATTCATGATTTATGTAATTTTAGGAATTTTGATAATAAAAATTAAATAAAATAAATATTCGATTATTAGAATATTTTTACCGATTATTTAAATATTTTACCGATTATTCGCATAACAATGAATTTTAATAATCCACACACTATAGTTAATATACATAACGACATATCATTGAAACGACGTCAAGTAAAAAAGTTAATACTGGTTTTTTTTTTTAAATATATTGCTTTGTTTCAAAAATTCAAATTTAAATTAGTGATAAAAACTATACACGTTGTAATGAAAATATATATATATATATATATATATATATATATATATATATATATATATATATAGATAATGAAAGTTACCATACTCCATGTTTTATAAGCTACGTGTAATAAGCTGTCGCAACGCAATTGGACAACTAATAAGCTTTGTGACAAGCTATAATGATTTAGTTGTTTAGAAAAAATATCAGTTTTTATTTCATTATATTGAGACAAGCTCTGTTTCATTCTAGAGATTGCTGAAAAACAAGAAGACTTGGAGATTGATGCTTTTGAAGATGGACATACGGATTTGGAAGACGATCTGCCACTAATTGCATTTAGTTCAAGGAGTAAAGCAGATGACTATGACATAGGTAAAAGAATTTATTTAAAAAAATCTTTATCTGTATCAAAAAATAATAGTTGGAGATGTATGAACAAGATTTTGTATGTACGTAGAGTATATACAAAATTTTGTTCTTTAATTAACATTTGAACAAACATAAAACTAAAATGATTATAAGCCATACAATTATCTCGTTTCCGTTTCCGGTGATCGCAAAGTAAACACGCACGTCAAAGTCCTCCGCAAAATAATAACTGTTTTTAGTGTAAAGAGTGTGAAATAGAAGTGTCACAACACGAAATTCACAAAAAAA